CTTTAAATAACAAAATAGAATAAGACAAACAAAGCCAAGCTACTTAATACACGCGCCTGGCCTTTGTGAATCTGAACCACTCTTGGTGGAACACAGGGCGGGGAAGACCCAGGCCATTACACTATTCGCCAACAAAAAACATAGCTGTTTATTTTGAGATATCACTGGGGAAGTCACAGCTAGCCTTCCTGCAAGAAAACTCAATTAATGACCAATTAGCGAATCTGGTCCCGTGTGCAGCTAATGTTATATTGTTTGCTTGAGTACCATTCTGCATCAGACTGAACTTAAAGATAATAGAAGTTTTGAAAAATTTATTTACTAACTAAAAGGGTAGCAAACACTTGGTACTGTCCTATACTAAATTTATGCTCACCCTCTTTATTTTCTAAAAAACTACGATCAGATTTTCCCTACATATTATCAAGTATACATGATAAAAAAAACTTTACAATAAGATAAGAAAAAAAAAGTATAAAGCAAAAACTATCTCACATAGATCACCTACCTACTTTCAGAAGGGATAACTAACAACTGTATAGAAAGCAAGAGACAAGAAAAACATTCAACAATAAAAGCAGCATGTAAGCACAAGATAGAACCCTTTAACTTAAAAAGACATGTCATACTACACGAAGAAACTTTTAACAATGATAAGGTATTAAAGAAATTCCGTTTAACAAAGAAACATATTACAATGAAATTGTACATTAAAAATTAAAGCAAATCACTTAAATACAGAATAAGCCGTACAAAAGCATTAAAACATAAAATGAACAAACTCTTTCCAGTATTAGAACATACACTAAAATAAACCCTTTAGTGCAAACTTAACATAATGAAATACTTTTATAGACCTTGAAGATAGCTTTTATACGCGGAAACATCTGTTAGCTGAGTTCTTGCACAGATCTTAAAATATAACGTTGATAATCGGAAACATCGGCACATGTAGGTATGTAGATCTTGAAAGTCGAGTTGTTCAAAACTTGAAAATAGCTTGATAACTGGACCAATTGTTGGTTGAGATGTCACAAAGGAAATATCTGCTGAAGATTTTCGCCAGACACTAATTATAGCAGAACCGTCTGGAAAATGATCTATAGGAAATAGTACAGCTTATAAAATGAGCAGATCAACGTAGGCCGGTAAGGCAATCACTGATTGGCACGTCCTTAAGCCAATCATGAAATGTCACAGATATACTGAAGGGTGTGTAGATTGTATAGGAATTCTTTTTGGCGGCAAAAGACAGGTTTATGCATTTTAATAAAGGTGGCTTCCAGAATATAGAGATGAAAGGTTGACAGACCATTTGCAATAATTTCAAACCTGCTATCCGCATATAAAAGCTATTTTCAAGTTTATAGATCTATAAAACAAAAAAGCCTAATTGTAATTACACAAACAAATATAAATATATACAAGCCACCAAAGATTGTTAAAAGTGATGGAATGGACATAAAAAATGTTTGCTCCTGTCAATATGTTTTTTAATTCTCTATTTATGACACATTAATAACAAATTCATTTCTTCGTCTCACAATAGCTATGTTATAAGGCCTACATAGAAACATTACTGAGTTATAATGTAGAAGCAGAGAAAATCCATCAATGTGGGTAAAGGACATGGTGGGTAGTTTTGACGATCTCGACTTTAACAACTGAGATAATGATGGAATCCAAGACCGATACATAAATACACTTGGTAGTCAAACTGTTGACATGATTGACCATTTACATTTGGAGGTTTTAGAGATTATACAAATGAAATGTGAGATTTTTGAGATGAGAAAATTATTTTTAATCTTAACATGAAAATCACTTTACACACGAACTACTAAAAACAAATACTCGATATATTCATAGACAAATCTATTTTTACTTTATTAAAAATACTTCACTAAAAATATTATTTTCTATATGTGAAAGACTTATAATGTTTACTGAAAGACTGTCAAATTTCATGAAGATATATGTTCACTATATTAAAAGTTAGTAGTATCAGATCTATAAAGACTTTGAACGAGTACAAAGAGGTAATGTGGTCAGTCTAATTGACTGAGCATGTTGAGAGAGTTAAATAATATAGTTGTTCATAATTTTGTTACAGAGTGATTAAATGTAACAACACGTTTAGTAGATATACTTTTTATGTAGATGAAATATCAAAGTCTTTATTGTACAAAGGTGAATAAATGTTTTTAAAATTGAAGATATTGTCAGAGTGACCTTCATTAAGTAAAAGATATTAATCTTCTTATATAATAATAATAATCTTGTTTGTAGATCATATGACAAAACAAAACAAATCTAATTAAAATATTCTGGTTTGTCATACTTATATAGAATACAGTTACTTAGTCTTATACATTTTTACAGACAGTCAGATAGTTCTTGAATAAATTCACCACTTTCAACAACATCAGTGGAATTCAAATTTTTACAATCATGTACATTTAGTTTACTATTGTATTGCCTAGCAACACACTCATACTAACACACTTACCCAGGTGTTGATGACGCAATTCTATTATACCACCCAGCAACGTACATATAGCAACACCCTCCTGGTGTCGATGATGTACATATTAGGTCAATGCCCTCGACACGTCACTACGTTCATAAGAGCTTGTTGAAATTGGGTCAAGGTCATGTTTGCTTACTTCCGGCTCGAGAGTGCCACCCTATACTACTTATGTGCATGGGCATATTTGTTAAAGTCATATATATCTACATTTGTATATTTGTTATGCTTGAGCAGATATAGGAGGCACAGAGGTACATATAATTAATAATAACTTCCTATTAGAGTAAGCTATCTACTTAGAACAAAACTAAAAAAATAACCTGGTAATGATTATAACTAATTAAATATTGTTTTCTTATGTTCTAACTTATAAAGATTAGAATGCATTGTTTTATCAGTTGGGTACCCTTGCTGTTAACAACATTTTCGGCCGTAAATCCAATAATACATCACGAAATTCGGTCACCTTAAAAGATTTAGCCTTAAGCTATACTAAGCTAATAATGCAAAACAATTTCTATACAAAAAATATAATAATAATAACAAATAACAAAACTAGATATATTCAGCACTGTTTGAAAAAAAGAAGTAATTATACCTCACTTATTGAACACGAAATCACTAGTTGTTAGCTTTAGCAAATTCTCGTTTTTTGTACATTGTTATTTTTATTGATTTTAATTAAAATATTTAGTTAGATAAAAAATATTATTGATTTTTTTGCGAAAAACCATGATTAACATGGTTGATTTAGTCACAACAACTCAGGATATTTAAATCAATTTTCATCTTAGCAACGTTGGGTGCTCTGATTTCTTTACCTAATTCAATATTTTGATTAAATATCAATAAAAATAACAATGTGCAATAAAATAGAAATTTGCTAAAGCTGCTTTAATCAAAGCAAAACCGGGTACATTGCTCCTGCTTCTTGCATGTGCTTTGTATGACATGTCAAGTTTCCAAAACAAAATTACCTACCTTTTGGTGTCCTGATTTCTGTTGTGTGGTCAAGTGTCGTTTGCAGTGTATTCTGACTTTATTATGGTTCCATTTAATGAAGAATAAATTTATTATCTTCTCGTTGCAACACAACACAAATTAAAATTTGGCGATACCAAAAATGTTTGCAAAGTCATTGTATAGCTGACTCTTGGGAGTACACGCAAGCGAAGCAAAACATATGGCTGAAGCAAGCCTATTTAGTTGAGGGAGTGTGTGCGCATGTTCGAGAGAAAGCACTAGCCTTTTTCAGTTAAGGCTATAGAGTAGGCATGTATGTGTAGCAGAAAGAGAGAAGGAAGAAAAGATCATAAATGAAGACTCCACGAAGTTTCTAAATAGTTTTAACGCTTGACTGATCATGGATAGAATGATCAGGAAAAGTTCTCACGCAGAGAAGAAACATAAATAATAGCCCTCTTGATCACACATTACCAAAAAATCCAGAATTTTCTAAATGAGGTCAAGTTGTCGTCCTGTTTGCCAAAAATAGCTATACTGGTCACTTTGGCTGGCCACATAGCCCATATTACTCATAGCCATATATGAGAGCTAACCACTATTTGAAGGCCTCGTATGTGAACGAAATTAGAAATTAGACCTAACATTAGATAGGACTGTTCAAGCCCACAGCGCTTCGTATCCAAACTGCTATCCACGCAATTACAAAACGGCTACTACACACTTTAACGTTGCATGAAATATATCATCATCATGATCAAGTGCCATGTTTTGTAGGGTAGGCGATCATTTCCCTCCAACTTTCTCGGTCCCAATCATTTGTGTTACATCAGTCACCCTCTCTTTGTGTAGCCAAATTGTTAAACCGACAGGATCTTCTTTTGCTGTCTACCTATACTTCGTTTCCACACAGATTTCCCAGTTGTTACCAAATGCTCCATCCCTCATCACGTGACCAAAGAATGCTGCTTATCTTTTTCGTACTTTTGTTATCAATGTTCTTTTTTGTTTCTGCTTGTTGTATAACTTCTTCATTTGTTTTAGTTCTTTGTGGGAAACTCTCAGCATTCTACACAGGAACCATATTTCGGTCGCATTAAGTGATTTTTCCATTTATTTGTTTATACAAAATATATGCATGATCGTAAAAGTACTTAATTTAAGAGTTCCAAAGATGAGATACCTCAGTTTTCTATAACTCATTCATACACGAAAGGTTAGTAATTGATTAGAGCTGATGCTTAAGACTTTAATTAAAAAATGCTTAATGGTGTTTTTTTCTTTCGTTGTTGCTTCCTTGAGCGACTACACCTTAAGCAACACTTGCATCATGTAATAACTTGAAGCTGAAAGCAATATGGCACTGCATGTGACTGGAGGATCTACGTACAGTTGAATTAATACAGCACCTGAAACTGTCATGAAACATTGAATAACGCTCTTTCCAACAGGTGTTACTGATGTAGACGTAAGCCCTTATATAAACTATACAGTACGTCAAGCTTACAAAATATCGTAGAGAGCGGATCAGGAATTTTCTTTTCCAGGTTTGAATAACTGTAGAAATTTATTAACATTTGAGCAAAATTAAGGATGATGTTTCTGACTTTTTCCTTGCTGTTTACTTAGTGACTAAGATATAAAAAAAATCAAACAGGTTGATTTTAGTTAGTTAATAAAAACAGATCAACGAAATTCAACTAAAAAATGTCTTTTTCTTTAGAGCAATATATATATATATATTTGAAAATTAATACTTAAAGAGTCAAGCAGAGTGAAAGGACTGCGTTAAAAACAGCAATTCCAAACGTAGTTGTACTAGTTAGTTTAGATAACTTGGTTGGGCTTTTATAATTCTATACTAGTATAATTTATCTACTGTACTACTGATTAAGTTAAATTATAGCCTGTACCCTGGGAATCCTTTAAATTTATGCACCTTATTTAATTTAAGTTTGTTTTTTGTTGGGCTTGTTTTGTTCATTTAAGTATATATATATATGTGTGTGTGTGTGTATCTGTAAAATTGATTTTATTTTAAACATCTTGTAAAATTGTTATAAGCTGCAGCGCGTTGTAACATTTTATTTATTTGGAAACATACCGCAGCGGTAATAATTGCATAAAATTATGTAAAGGTATTAAATAGAAGTTCATTCATTGAATAAAAGTTAATTGAATATCTCATACATTATATATATATCAAACCAAAAAATAAACATGCATGCTTAACCTGAATTAAATGAAAAAAAGCAGTTTACGCTTAAAATCATATATTAAAATGGAGCAACTAATTAACATAAATGTTTGGGTGTGCTCTACATAAAATAAATTAAATGATAAATATAATTTTTAATATATTAGCAATAAGAAGGTAAAATAACGTTAATCGACCCCCTCAGTTTAGGTTTTTGCACGTCAAGCTCCAGATGACTTGCATTTCAAATGACTGATTATTTAACCTACGCCTATAAATGAATAGTGGGTAGAGGTAGTGTTACATTCTATAAAATTTCACTTCCGTATTCAGAAAGGTCACCATGAACACCAATGGCAGTCTGGCTCCAGTTTTACACGCCTAAAAAGCTTAAAATAAGAGTCTTGATAAGGCACTTGAGGTAGTATTTCTGCCACTCCTTTGAAGGAGATATTTGCAAGATATTTACGAATCCCAAGAGCAAGATATACATCACTGACAAGACTGAAATTCAGACGAACATATAGGCCGCTCCTTTAGTACAGGCTTTTCTTCTTCGGGAAATGTGTCATCCAGTTTAGGATGGTAGTGCAAGTGTTGTCATCCATTTGGTTGAAGTCAGAGCTAAACTACACCAACATACAGTAGCACAAAAGTTCAGAGAATGTGCTTCCCATACTGTGTGGCATTAATGGTACCATTTCATAAGATGTAGAGATTTATATGCTCATCAATATTCATTTGTACCCACAGGTACTTCCACAACTGTCATATGTCTTACGTTTCTGAATGCAAAAAAAGTTGTGTTTCAAATTATCTCTACATATTAGTTGGCTACAAGGTAAAGAACGGATCATATGTAAAAAGAATGTCGCTCAATGTGACTCTGATTCATTAGACATTTTTTGGTACCATTTCGAGCATGTTGTTTTGTGTCTTGCTTGAACATAATGCATCTCATTAGCTTCCCGCATACACATCGATCATGTTGAAGTATGTATATAATAAAATGTAAACTGATACGACGTCCAATTGTGACTGTGAACATCTGTTTTAGCCATGGAGCAGAAAGTCTATGATTTTAGCGAGCTAGAATCAACCTATAGTAGCTGTCTGCTTTGTGTTGAAGGTGATGGTCAGACTGGACCAAGTATTCGAGCAATTACTCAGACCTGCGATGGTTTTATCGTCTTGATATTTTTACATGTTCTACGTAATTCCTGTACACTTAATCCGAAAATGATATCCATGTTATAACGCAATACATAAAAGAAAGACCACAATACGTAGTAATAAGACTAAAAGACGTGGATTTCACACACACACATACTCACAGAAATCAGGATGAATGATGATGCATATTCGTTTGACATCAATGTTCTTCTCTTTTCTTCAGTTTGTTTGTATTTTTTGTTAACAAATATAAAAACAGAAATTTTCATTATGGTAAACGAATTAAAAATTTGATCTAAGTAAGAATTTTTTCTTCTTCCCGATTTGTAAAAAGTCCTTACATGACAGAAACAAATGAATATTATTTTCGAATTTTGCGTAGCTGAATTATGGAAAATCCTTCATTTAAACCAAAACAACTTTTATGAAGTTTAAATTCGCAGACACATGTTATACCTTGGTTTGGAAGCGGCTCCAGGTTTTACTGATGAAACTTGTATCTAATTCACAACAGCCTTCTTTTAAATGTCTTCTTTGAAGACTGGTCATGATTCGTGTACAGTGTAGAAGAGCTCTTTAAACTCGGTAATTCACTTCGAAAAGATATTTGAGTCAAGACTGTGAGACACCTGTATACGGTGTATATGTGACATTGGTTGAATTAGAATCGTTTGCATTTCAGATCACATGATATCTCGTAAAATGCCGTATTTACATAACAATAATAAGCTCAGGGAGCGATTGAAATTGTTTGTACCATTGGTTTTGTATTGCCTTTGCTATAAAATTTAAATTCACTTATTCTTTGATTGTTTTATGTAGCGAATGCGATGGTCCAGGCGTGGCCTATTGGTTAGCATGCTGGACTGTGAATCCTAGGGCCAATCGATCGCGTCACATTGCAGCAATATCGCGTTCTGCACATTAGGGTTGTGGGTGCATTATAAGAATGAGAGTCAAATCCCACTATTCTATTTAAAATAAACCAAGGGTAGAATAGATGATGCTGCCTTCCGTCTACTCTATAAGCTATAAAATAGGGATGACTATCGCAGATAGTACTTGAGTAGCCTTGCGCGAATATCAGAAACAAACAAAAGTAATGTATGTAAATACAGAGTGCCTTTGCTTCCTTCAAAAGTAGTTTGTTAGCATAACAAGCAGTAAGATTAAAATACTATGTTTATTACTTATATATGTTATACATAAACAAATTATGTCAAATTCCCTTTATTGTTAAGGGAGTTGAATAATTTTCATTTAGTTTTCACAACAAATTCATCATTTCTATGTCCACTGCTTAAAGACCTTTTTTGTTGTCTTTCAAAATTTATAATACACACTAGAGAGGTTTATATATTTTGATGATAAAATTAGAAAAAAACGACTATTACCCTCCAGATAATTATAAGAAAACTTTTATGTTAACAAGCGTTTCGCCATTACGACTTCTTCAAGGCTAGTATATAAAACTGTTTGATATTACAGTATTCTTTAAATTATAAAACTCCTTGTGATGACCTATTTCTCTAGTCTGCCATAGCGTGCCTCTAACAACGTATAGAATATTGTTACGTCTCCGTTCGTTAGTTAATTTTCCGTAAATTCGTTCTGACGAAACTTTAGCGACAACGACACAGAGACCAATACGGAAGAAGATACGTCCCGTAAAATTAAGAGACTTTGTTGAATTGTAATTTTGTGTTTGTAATTCTGTACATTTAATTAAGTTATTGTTAATTGTTATTGGTTTAATGTGAGTGGCTGTTGTTCGGGACGAACAATACTAAGGAATGGGCAGTGTTATGACATCGGGGTCACGTGACGCTAGTATCACGCCACAAGCTTCTCGAACGTTCACGTCCCTTCCTGAAATATCGGGAGTTTACTAGATCTCGGTATTCTTTTATATATAAGACGGTCACAACGTGACGGGAAGGCAATTAGTTATTGAACAGCAGACAGAGAGAATATTGTTGAGCACGTGAGAAGTTCGTTGTGAATTATAGGGTTTGTTATAGAGCGACTGTTGAAATTAAGTGTATCGCAAAATTGTATTCAGAGAGAATAAACCAGTTTTATTTAAGAAAGGACTTGTATCGGTAAAGTTTCTTCGGTAAGAATTGTTACGGAAAATTAACGAACGAACGGAGGCGTAACAATATGATGTGTGTGTGTTTTGAATAGTGATTTAGTTACATGTACTATCCATTGTACCTGTTCATTTTTAGATTTTTTTTCGCTAATCAGTATAGCTTCCATATATTTAAGATATGTGTGTTTTGAATAGCGATTTAGTTACATGTACTATCCATTGTCCTTGTTCATTTTTGGATTTTTTCGCTAATCAGTATAGCTTCCATATATTTATGATGTGTGTGTGTTTGAATAGCGATTTAGTTACGTGTATTATTCATTGTCCCTGTTCATTTTTGGATTTTTTTCGCTAATCAATATAGCTTCCATATATTTATGATGTGTGTGTTTTGAATAGCGATTTAGTTACATGTCCCTGTTCATTTTTGGATTTTTTTCGCTAATCAGTATAGCTTCCATATATGTCCTCTCTTTAACATCTTTGGCTTTTTGTAAGATAGAAACTTTAAATGGTTTTTGATTTTCTATGTTTATGATTTCATGTTTGTATAGGAAGTGTTCTGTTGGGGCTATTTTGTATTGGTTATACATATTGTTACGACAGCGGGGGTCACGTGACTCTAGTAACACGTCATGCGCTTCTAGAAAATTCATGTCCCTTCTTGAAGCCTCGAGAGGTTACTAGATGTACGTTATTTTTGCATATAAGTCGCCAAGAAGTGACGGCAATAATGTAGTTGAATTACAGACAGAGATAGAGACCGACAGTTGGGTCGAGCGCGTGAGTCGTTCGTTGTGAATTATAGCGTTTGTTATAGCGTGACTGTGGAAATCAAGTGTATTGCAAAGTTGTATTCAGAAAGAATAAACCAGTTTTATTTAAGAAAGGACTTGCGTCGCTAAAGTTTCATCGGAAAGAAATTATACGGGAAATTAACTAACGACCAGAGACGTAACAATATATTAGGTCGTAAAGAAATTGGTGTTTGGAACACTTTCATTAGTCACCCCTCAAAAACGTACATCACGTATAATAGTTAAACGAACCACCTAAACGTGACGTTAGTGTAGTCTATATAATGTGTAAAGTTTAGTATACTCTAATCCCTTATAGTGATGGCACCCGACGAGGTATTCGTTTCGTAAAAATAGTGTTTTAGTCTTTTTGTGCTGTTTAAATTGCATTAGGCGTGAAGCAGCTTCGATTTATTCTCACTAATTCTACATTGTTCTTCTTTTGATTTGGTCTGAGTGGTGTGAGTTGTAATGGAGAAATATTGGCTTCTTGCATTCTTTGTTATGCATAGAACTCCATATTTGTCTGTCTTGAACTTTTAAGGTTACGTCTAAGAACGTTAAGTATCCTTCTGCGTTGGGTAGTTTTAATGTGAACTTGACTGATGGGGAGAAGTTGTTTAGGAAATAGTAAAACTGCTGTAGTGTTTATTTTCCATGATACACGAAAGGAATCATGGGGAATCCAAACGGAAGAGATATATGAACGAACATGAGCGATAAGATTCGTCATTTTTTTTTCTGGGGGCGTTATTATGTGATAGTCGATCCCAATATTCGTTGGTAAAAGAGTAGCCCAAGAGTTGACGGTGGGTGATGATGACTAGCTGCCTTCCCTCTAGCCTTACACTGCTAAATTAGGGACGCCTAGCACAGATAGCCCTTGTGTAGCTTTGCGCGAAATCCAAAACAAACAAACAAACAAATAAGTCACGTGGCTGTTACTTAAAACCATCTGTCAGGTGAGTTCGGTTACAGTGAGCAGTAAAATACTTAACCTCTATCTTGGGGCTGTACGTGTACCAAATAGTGTACAAGTATGCAAGCGTTTATACAATTGTTACGAAGAAGGACAGTTCCGTTTTTAACTTGTTTATCACTACAATAAAATTACGTATTTTCACTTACTTATATGCGTGTAAAAAAACAAAAACAAAAAACAGCAAGGCTAAAATGTAGCTAGCTAAGACTAAAGCACTTAAAAACATTGCAATTTATTTAGAGTTACATTTAATGATGCATGTGTATATTAATCGGTTTTCTTTGATAACAAGTAGCGAAAAGGGTAAGAGTTCTCGTTTTATTCGATCTGGGACATTCTAATAAGTTTGTATACCATTAGAGCCACATTCCAATATACTAACTTATAATCATGACACTAATAACATATAACTATCTTAATTACAGCGCCTATCTATATCAGTTACAGACAAATCAATGCATCACCATATTTCATACCAATATGATGTGGACTTAGAGAGGCAATCGGATGGAAAACTACTCGATGTTCAAAGAAAAAACTTTTATAATGAGAAGAGGGCGAATGTGTGTTAAATTGAGATCTATTGATCTATACTAGCTATGAAGATGGATAATATTTTTTGTTTGATTTTTGTATAGGCTTAATTTGTCTTCCTATTGAGGAATTTGTTATGAGAGGTTTAATTATAGGTGAGCAATTCCGTAAAACTTCAACTGTTTTCTTTTATGGCACTTTTCGGCTAGTTTTCAGGATCAAAAGATAAGGCCCCCTAGTGGCACAGCGGTATGTCTGCGGACTTACAATGCTAGAAACCGGGTTTCGATACCCGTGGTGGGCAGAGTGCATATAACCCATTGTGTAGTATACTATTCTAAAACATAGATATGAATTCAAATTTTTTTCGTGTACTATTGTTTTCTTCCAAAATATTTCTCTACGTATTCTAACCTGTATAAAGTATAACCCAATGTATTCTAACCTGTATAAAGTATAACCCAATGACGGTAGTAACTTGTAAAAGAAAGACAAGCAGCGTGTTTGTTCGCGTCTTCTTTATCTTGCAAATTAATATCTAACTAATAGTTCTTGTTTTTTTTAAGGGATACCCACTTAGAATAAAATTTAAGTTCTAGCGCTTTTCTTCCTCGAGTATTTTTAAAATCAAATTTTATTATTTTGTCGGCCCTTCCAACTCCATTTCATTACATAGTCCTTACATTACATAGTATAGTCCTTTTGTAATATTTAATCACTTATAAAATATATAGTTTTATAAAATACTTGTTATTGAAAGTAGGCATATTTCAATTGTGTTAATTTTTATAAACTTACCTGCAGTGTAGTATTTCGCTTTTATCTTAAAAAATAAAATCGTTGATTTTCAGCTGCTATTTTTCTTTGATATCAATATTTCGCCTATCACAATATACGTTTGATGGTTTTTTATCTTGTTGCTAAACTCTTGGATTAAGAGGTGTCTTTACTACACGTAATTTTCCAGGGAGAGTTCACGCACGAAAATCACGTGGAGTTGTCATACCACTACACGACTAACAGATAGCAGGAAACGTCCGAGTCAGGCAATCACAAACTCAAAAGAAATACTGTCCAATCGATAATGTCGGACCAAGGATGGTCTCAGACCAATAAAACTGTCGTCAAAGAGATTACAAATATCTCGCCAAATACTTCCCATTCAACAATGTCGGACCAAGGACGGTCTCAGACAAATAAAGTTGTAGTCAAAGAGATTACAACTATCTCGCCAGATACTTCCCATTCAACAATGTCGGACCAAGGACGGTCTCAGACAAATAAAGTTGTAGTCAAAGAGATTACAACTATCTCGCCAGATACTTCCCATTCAACAATGTCGGACCAAGGACGGTCTCAGACGAACAGAATTGTCGTCAAAGAGATTACAACTATCTCACGAAATACTCCCCATTCAACAATGTCGGACCAAGGACAGTTTCAAACAAACAAAATTATCGTCAAGAGGTCTCCGAGTGACATGCACAACTGTGATGAGGAACAAGGATGTTACTTTGATGATGCTGAAAATTCAAGAGATCTTGCAAATTTAAGTATTATCCATAAAGAAACCAAGTTTGATCAGAAAATTATCAGATCTTTCACACTTCCTGAAAATTTCACACCAGAGATTGAGCAAGTCTCTGTTGAACTGGATGAATCCGTAGACCCACCATCTCAGTCTTCCAGGGACGCTGGTAGAGACATATTTTCTGATGAATGTTTAGAGAAGCACAATTATTATAGGTCTAAACATGGTGTCCCTTCACTGACATTGTCACCTCAGGTTCGTTATAAAGTTTTCTTGTTTGTCATTAAAAGGAAAATTAGTGATAGTGAAAAGATTAGGTATTCAAGGAAAGAAAATATATTGTTTAGTCTTCCTGGAATGGTCTATTAAACTATAGGAGGATAATTTCTTTAGTGTACTTGCAATGAGAAGCTAACAAAGCAGGTAATCTAAGTTTGAAAATATTATCGCAGCTGACATTACAACAAAGATATTTATCAAATTCAGGTCTCTCTCAATCACTAATAAGAGGTTACTTCAGTGACACATAGAGAAAAAAATTCCATTTCCTAATTTGCTAAAAAAACACAAAAACTCATACACTTTTAAATGCTCCTAGGAATTAGGGCCTGTGTTTCATATATATGGATTAAGATTAATATCTTAGAGATGAAGTTTGAAAAAATTAAGTATTTATAATTAGCATAATTCTCTTTTGAACTCTGAAAGTTATATGTTGCTGTTTCAGAGAAAAAACAACAACAGTATTTTATAACATTGACAAAACTTCTAATCAGTATTCTTATAATTGAGCTTTAAGATATCCCGCCACTCTGAGATTATTAATCTATATTATCATACATCATAAGCTTTTGTCCATAGGTGTCCATGCAACAGTTTAACTACTTATGTTCAAACGGATATCCAGGCTAGGTGTGTACAAAAATTATAAGGGCGCGCAAGAAACCATATTTATTAAAGAGGCGGGAGTAACAAATGTATGAGAAAAACTGTCATAAGGTATAAATTTATCAAAACAACAAAAAAAAAAAAAAGAACAGTCATTAAGATTAAAAGTTTTTTGTTCGTGTGTAGTTTTAATACAGCTGACCATTCAGAAGGCTATTTTAGGTGTTTTGATACTGTTAAACAAATCCCCCTGTTTAGAGTTTTACAAACACCGAGGGAGTTAAGTTTTTTGTTTTTACAAGCACAAAGAAGTAACTATCTTAGCTAGACACATCAAAAGAATTATCCCATATACGTCAGGAAAGAGAATTGCACAGTTTGTTAACAATAGAGAAAAAAGAAATGTTAGATTAACTGAAAGAATATATTTATTGAATAGAAATTGTTCAGAGGGCGTTATTGATAACTGTATATTTCGCGCTAAAGTATATGGACCAAAAGCTAATGATAAGTAAGAAATGTTACCAATCATCACTAATACACTCCAGGGTTAAAAGTTAATATTAAAGAATGCAAGTCTTTGGTTGCCTCTTATACATCGACCACTGTAAGAAGAGCCATAAGTACTATTAATATTATTGTAGCTTATAGACAACCTATAAACTTGGACGGTTCACTTTGTTATAAATATAATACTGAATATAGAGATGGAAGTATTACTCAATGTAAGAACTTAAGATGCCAACTCTATAATCTAGGTTATATTACCAGTACTAATATCATTAGAAACATAGATCAAACTATTATGTTTAAAATCAAAAGATTTGTCTCTTGAATTTCTAAAATCTGTTTCATATGTTCAAATGAACAATATGTGATGAAAGTTAAGTTGGTCAAATTGAAGATTTAGAATAAATTAACAAAATTTTCACTTTAGAAACCTAAGATATTCAGAACGTTTTTACAATTGTATCATAAATACCCCTGTCCTATTACAAGAACCTTTCTTTTTGGTTTTACATTTTTTTTTTTTTATAATCAACAAAAATATTATTCTTTGAAAGTTATTTTATTAAAAAATTGGAAGTAAATGGAAACTTATTTAAATAACTTGTGGATTTATTATGTTTTTATTGTTTATGAATTCT